CGCCCGCGCATCCCCGCCATTCCTCCCCTTTTTCTCTCTGTTTCGCCCCGCCCGCCCCGGCCGCACTTGCCCTTGCTCCTCCCCTCCCCGCTGAAGCCCCGATCTGGCCGCCGCCCGCCCACTTACTCGCCCCCGTATTAGGTTGTCAACTATCCCGCCCCGCATCCCCGCATTCCTCCCCTTTTTTCTCTGTTCGCCCGCCTGCCCCGCCAACGCCCCGCCCTCCCAAGCTATCCTTCCGCGCCATGCCCACCTTGCCTTGCTCTCTCCCCGCTCTGCCCCGCCACGCTCGCCCCGCTGCGCCCGCGCGCCAGGCCCCGCCCGCCGGCCCAGGCCGCGCCACTTCACCTCCTGCCCCCGCCCTCCCAATTCAACCTGCCCCCGCCGCCCATTTCACCTCGCGCCCGACCCGCCCACCTTCACCTCAACCCCTCTCCGAGACCTGTCTCGACACCCCGACCCTTGCCCTCCCCTCCACCCCTCCTTTTCCAACTCACCCTTCCCAGCCTCGTCTCTGTCGCGCCCAGCCCTGCTCTCACGTTGCGCTCCGCTTCAACTATCTTCGCACGGCTCTGCTCTCTACGGCACGACCCTCGCTCTGGCTCAACGCATCCGTCGCGCCCTCCCACCCTGCGGCCTTGTGTGCATCGCCTTATCCCCTCTTCTCGGCCACGATTTCTGAGCCTTGGCCCTTCTAGCCCCACCACACTATCCGCCCTTTCATTATTCCTAATTGACCTCGCCATCCCGCTCTTTTCGCCTCTCGTATCCTTTCCCACTCAATCTCCCTTCTCCCTTTCCTACTTTCCTCGCCTCCACTGCCCGCTCTGTCGTGGCCTTCTTCTTCCGACTCCGGCCCATCCCTCACTCTTCCCTCCTCTTCCATTTCCCTTCATCCCAGTCCTACCCCGATCCGCCCCACTTTCTTCCCTTCTCTCCTCTCCATTTCCACCGACCCGTTTGCCTAAACACCCTCTCTGCACTCTTCCTCGCCGCGGGCTTCCCTCCCCCTCCCGTACGGATCCGTCCGCTCCGCTCGGCGGCGCTCACCCTGCACGGAAGCGCCTTGGAGCAACTGCCGGACGGTTCTGCGGAAAATGGAGAGTATGCGCATGGAGCAGGAGACGCACATTTTATCTTGTATTAATAATAGGCGATTTGAACGCCAGGTTTGGTAACCAGCCAATTCCTGGAATTGTAAGTGGCCATGGGGACAGAGAGGGAGAGAGAAGGGGAACTGTCAACGAAAATAGAAAACTTCCCAGAGGCCTTGCCAGCTTTAAGATATAGAGATGAATACTTTCGTTCACAGCAAAGAAAATTAAAATTATCGTTGGTGCTTCTATGGGATTACAGCTATAGTTATATTAACTGCATATGTTGATGCAAAAATGTTTAACAACGAAGTAAATGCGATTAATTTTCTTCGAGATTTACTTAAAATCTTATTGGTGTTTTGCAAATTGAAGAGATCATGCACACAAGCTTTCTTTGCTTCAAATACTTTAACTGATATAGAGGTATTGCTTTTTTGAAGAAAATGAAAACTATTACCCCAGTTTTTTTTAACCGCCAGTTACGCGTTTCGTTTAAAAACGAGGAAATACATATGTAGGTTTCCTCATTTCTTAGTAAACTCAGTATTCAAAATTAGTGTTCTAGCGTCATCCTGGTTATGTTTTGAGCTAACGAAAGGATGTTTCCTCAAACGAAATATCCTTTCCCTTTTTGTGATCGAAACGTATTACATATTGAATGATTAGTTCACTCGAAATGCATATCACTAGAGGGCCATTACAGTTTAATTTAATCTACAGGCGACTGCGAGGTCGTTCTTTGATGGTGTTGTAGGAGCGAAGCCCGCAAAGGGTATTCGTGTTTTCATCATGTTATTGTATATGTGAGAAGGAAATCAACTATCGCTTATGATCATCTAAACACTTATGCGCCCAGGTTGGTAAAATAATATTTCAAGCAGTGTGCGTGGACTTTATTGCAGAAAATGTTACTTCGAGAAACAACCTTGTAATTTTTCAGATTGTGGAAATTTGCTGCATTTTTTAGAATTTTGATTTATATATGTCAATGCACTACTCTACAAAACATTAGAAGACGTACATTTAAATATCCAACTAAATAATATTAGAAATCAATGGAATCAACCTTTCCTACTTGCAAAATAAAGAGCCACTTCTATCACTCATTTTAATTAACTATTGTTAATGTTTAATTGCGCTTTGCGTTACATTCTGTACTAAAGTCTAGACTTCTTTCCGAACTCCACTACGTGACGCTTCTCCGAAGAGCGCTACGTCGTCAAACTAGGCCTCCAAACGGTGCAGATATAGCTCCACATTTTTTTACATTAACGTATACTAGTTTTTGACCCCTGTGCTTCGAAAAATTGGCGTTTATGTGAGTGTTAATATGCCATCTTCAACAGAGTTGGACAGGCTGAGGTGGCTGTGGACATAAATTGATATCAATGCAGTGCCTCTGATCGAGAGATCCTATGCTTAGAGACCCGACGGTGGCAAGATTTTCGGGAATAAGTAGAAGTAGAAATTCGAGTAGTTGTAGTGGCTGAGGTGGCTACGTACACTAGCTAGATAGCTAGGTCGACTTCAGCTGCTGTCTGGAGGAGAATTCTAGCAGCCGGCTGCTCTAATCAGTAATTTTCCATGGTTTCTCCGAACAACATGGATGAATTTCGGAGCAGTACCCTAAAATATGAGACCAGGATCGTGCGCGTATTCATCATTCCTTTCTCTTCCTATTCACCCCTTACACACACACTTACATTCTCTACACTACGACACAGCGGCAGCCCGCTGGTGTGAGTTTTCTAATTTCTTTGATCTGGGCTAACTTTTCGGTGTTGCTCCAGCTACTTACTCTTGCCAGCTACCCATCTATCGACGACTACAGAACTTTAAAAAAATTCTCAATATTTCGGTTTCCTAATGGTAACACCGAAATATTACTTTAAGAATAAGAGAGTAAAAACTCGTTCTATATGAGAATTTGTGTTGAAAATTTGGAGCCATTTGTAAGAAAATGTCCTTTAAGCGTTACTGTAAATGCGAAAGTTGAAGCTCTTTTTTGCAGAAAACTTTTAAGTTTTCGAGAAACTTTATAAGACATCATTTGAAGCACTCGTTTTTAATAAATTCAAAATAGCCGGTAATGAAATATTAACGAAGCAAGATGTAAAATATTCCAAATTATAGAGAAGTTTTTGAAAAACCAAAAAGTATAAGCAAAATGTAGTTCATGTCATGTACATCTAGCACTATCACACCTAAAGTTTAAAGAACAACTTTGGACCGGTTTTTGAAAATTGTTTTCTATACTTTCTAATGTTGTACATATTTTACTCAAAATTGCGCGTAAACTACTAAAAGTTTGAAGAAAATGTACATGATTTTAATGAAAGAACTAATTATGGAGAACAAATTTCATTTGTAGGAAACATCTCGATCTTCAATGTTGTAGTTGTAGGAAGATGCCGAAAATATTTCAAACATTGGCAATTTTCGATAATTCAAAGTTAAGTGTGAAAATAGGGCCTACGCCATCTTCATAAGTGTATTTCACTCTATGCTTACAAGAAATTTAAAGAAGAAAATTGGAGGCTCCATGTAAAGTACCCCCCAAATTAAAGAATTTTATTCAAAATTACAGAGCTTCGAGTGAGGCCAGGTTGACGGGGATATTCATTGTGGAAAAAAATGCGAATAGTTTAGGCGCTAATGTTGTTAACAGACGGACGGACATGTGTTTACACTTTTTTTGTAATGTCTTAGCATTGTCCTTACGTCAATTGAATGAATGTCTGGGATGCATACTACCCGAAACGCCTGAATTTGGAAAAAAAACTAATAGTAAATATGACATTGTAATTGACGTGTCGTGTTGGCGAACAATTTTCTTAGTAATAATAGTGTATAATTAATACGAAAGCTTACCTCGGTAAGAATGGTATGGAATACGACACCTGATCTAGTGATGTTGGTTCCTATTTCAGAATATTTGTTGCAATTTGAATTCATAATTGATGTTATATATACATTAAGTCACTTGGGGACATATTAAAGAATGGTGATCACCACTTGAGTTGTATTGTGATTGGGGGGAAGATGTCTTGGCTGGTGTTCGAAACGCCCGAATGAAGCCAGGTAACAATTAAATGATGGTGCATCGCCAACAACGGGCAAAACAAAACAAAAAGTCATGTACTCCATGTTTTAGGACAGACAGTTTTGCTGACTAGATTTCATGGCAAAGGTTGCTTTAATATTCACAACTATCTACAGTGACATCCGTGAAAACTGCGTCGCTTGATTCAGAATACGCGACGGGGCAGTGACATTGTGTTGATTTGCAGTGTGAAGGGGCATGATTTGCAGTGACATTGTGATTTGCAGGGCAATCCCCACGATTGCGTTGTGATTGTCAAATCGTCGGGGAAAATCGAGAATGGCCCAGCCGCAAGTGCGCGTGGTTTAGTAGGCGTGGAAATGACCAGCCCCGTGCATGACCTCCACGGTGTGGCTTGGGATCCTCCAGCGCAGAGCAGAGCAGCGCGTGCGCTCGCTTCCGCTGTCATCAGGGCTGGCCGCGGGGCGCGCGCGGACCCCGAGCGGAGTGGGCGAGCGGGGCGACGCGGGGGCGGGCAGCTGGCCAGCACGCGCGCGCGCGTGCCGCAAATAGCTCCGCTCCGTCGGAAAGGGGAGGCGCGCTCCGGCGCCGCTCCGGCCGTCGCGTCGGCTTGCGTCAGTCGGTGGCTGCGGCGAGACAGGGGAGGACAGGGCAGGACAGGGCCGGAAGGCAGGATGCGTCCGGGCAGCGGGGGCGGGGCGGTGGGCGCGGCGGGCGCCGGGTCGGCGCTCCGCGCGTCGTTGCGCAGCCGCGGCTCCTCCACCTCCACGTCGGCGTCGGACCCGCGCGAGAAGGTGAAGGACTGCTGCCGCAAGCTGGTGGCGTTCATGTGCACGCAGGTGGGCGTGGGCGGGCTGGTGGTGGGGTACGCCATCGTGGGCGCCGTGGGCTTCATCTGGGTGGAGGCGACGGAGGAGAACCCGCTGCTGGAGCGGCGCCGCCACGTGCAGCGCATGCGCGCCGACTGCGCCGCCGAGCTGTGGGCGCTCGTCAGCACCGTCAACACGTTCGACCGCGCCGCGTGGGCGGTGCACGCGGACGACGTGCTGCGCCGCTTCCAGAACAACGTGACGGCCTACGTGAAGCTGGGCTACGACGGGCTCAGCCCTGTCGAGATCTGGACCTTCCCGGCGGCGCTCATGTTCTGCCTGTCCATCTTCACCATGATCGGCTACGGCAACATGGTGCCGCGCACGCCCTGGGGCAAGGGGCTCACCGTGGTGTACGCCGTGTTCGGCATCCCGCTCTACGTGCTGTACTTCATGAACATGGGCGAGGTGCTGGCGACGACGTTCCGCTGGCTGTACGCGCGCATCAAGGAGTGCACGCAGGAGCAGCCGCGGGTGGCGGCAGCGGAGCTGGGGCCGGGCGACGTGCCGCTGCCGCCGCCGCCGCCCGCGCGGGTGCTGGTGCCGCCCACGGCCGGGCTGTGGGTGATCGTGGGCTACGTGGCCACCGGGGCCATCATGTTCGCCGAGTGGGAGGGCTGGAACTACCTGGACAGCACCTACTTCTGCGTGACGAGCCTGTGCAAGATCGGCATCGGCGACTTCGTGCCGGGCGCCAACATCAGCGAGTACCGCACGGGCAACCAGACGAAGCTGGTAATCAACTTCATCTACCTGCTGCTGGGCATGGGGCTGGTGGCCATGTGCTACAACCTGATGCGCGCCGTGGTGCGCGAGCGCGTGCGCGAGCTGCGCGAGGACATGGGCCAGTGCCTGGAGGACGTGCGCGCGCGTGCGGTGGCGTGCGCCGGCCGCCGCCGCCCCGTCGAAGCCGTCCCCGCCCACCCGCACGCCGTCTGACCACGCCACGCCGCTCCCGCCCGCAACAACAAACACTCCCCCTCCCCGCGACAGGCCAGCTGCTCTAGCCCACCGCGGTGCGCGTGGCTGCTCGTGACGGAAGAGGTCGTGAATCTCCGGCCAGCGCTTGTTGAGCGAGGTTGCGACAATTGGACGTGGGGCGGGGTTCGTCAAAAGCTCTTGTCAAATTGGGCCAAAATATAGAACCTATGCCACTCCTTGTCGGCTTTATCTTCGAACAGTGTCTCGTGTCCAATGTTGCGTGCGACCAGGTAACGCTTGTTATCCGTAACGTCTGGCGTGGTCCATGTGCCGACCGCACGGCACGTTTTTGGCCTCGGGAAGAGTACTTAGGGAGTCTTCAGCCCAAGGCTCTGGAACGGTGTTGAGAGAAAATAATATTTTACGTCTATCCTAAGTTCATCTTGTGTCTTCCATCAGCGGCGCTTGTACCATGTTGCGACATGCCGATTTTATACGTGCGCGAAGTTCGTTGTGAATCTGCAGACAGCAGCTCTTGTCTAATGTTCAAACAATTAGTCGCATATTTCGACGAACCAACATCAGCTATTGACAAGTGTTGTGAAATGGTGACGCGTCTATCCTTATTGAAGTTCATCCCGTATCGTCAAGGAGCGCCTTTTGTCCAGTATTGCGACCATGTGACGTTTTGTTGGAGCTCGTTTTTAATGTTAAAAAATGAATCGTGCTCCATATTCCTGCAAAAAGACACTTGCGTTTGGTTGTGGAGGAGTTTATTCTGTATCTTGTACCTGTGTTTCTTGTTCAATGATGTGACATTAAGACGCGAAATTCATCGAAAACTCTGCCAATGGCTCTTGTCATTTGTTGCGAAAATGGTTCACGCTTATGCGGAATGTATACTTCTGTATATAATATTTGTATTGTTGCGGTCGCGAGACTTCTGTTGTGCCAAGGTTGAATGCATCCCGTATCTTCAATCAGCGTCTCATGTTCAATGTTGTGGCATGTGACGAATCTGTCATACCTTGGCGTTCATTCTATCTTCGACATCTCTAATCCAGCGTTGCGACCACATGTTGCCTCTGATACGCCTGGTAATCATCACTTATCTTAAACCAGCGTCTTGCCCTAGAAGGCGACAAAAAGTGACTTCTGACGTCTAGACACATTTCGTGGTGTATCTGTCATCGGCTTTGGCGCGATATTGCGACATGACGTTCCTGTTACACCTTGTGTTCTTCCTGCTTCTTCAGCCAGTGGCTCTTAGTCAATGGTTTATCCATGTGATGCGTGTCTTACGCCTAAGCGAAGTTCATCGCGCATTTTTAGTTGGAAGTTATAGTTGAATGTTCTGATAAGGCGCCTCACTACATTGTGCTTGGGCGGAGTTCATCCTAAATTGTTTGCTTTGTGTCTGGCTGACTGATAAGATTCCTCCATTGTTCTGGAGGCTGTGATAAAATATACAGGCGTAGGAATTATTCCCAAAGAATGTTCGTTGCTTTTCAAGATAATTATATATTTATTTGTCGTTTCTACTGTGTACGTTTTAATGTTAGAAGTGCAGTAAATATTTCATCTCGTAAGTTGTCTAAAGTACGTGTAGAGGTTGTGATTATCTGTGGTACATCTTCTGAATAGGCACATTGTTTTGCAGATTTCTGCTTTGAAATTGAAACTTTATTATCATGTACATACGAAATTTTGTTGATGTACTGAGAACGTGATTATTTTCCATAGGTATGTGAATTAATCTAAAAATACTTGTTACATAATAAGTGCCTTTTAATAGTCTTCAAGGTTAATAAGAGGAATGAAAATAGTGGGTAACATTGAAATATGAATTTACTCTACGTTTAATTATATGTTTAGTTGTTACTTTGAAATATGAGGCCTATTTGCATTCCGCTCTACAAATTCCCAAGATATTTCAATGTTAGGCTTGTATTTAAAGACATTCGTAGAAATAATACTGAGGCATTTCTTGCCCTCATAAAAAAGCAGTTATTTTTGTAGTTTCTGTTTCCTTACCTACATGTGATTGTTTTCCAAGTTCATTGTGATTTTCTGAATGTATTTTTGAATGAATCAATGTACATATCTGATCTACCGTTTTTGGGTTAATCAGTTGTTACACAACGTTTTATGATTAATATACAAATATCACATATTCTTTTTATTAAATTGTTTATTTGAACATACAGTTTGCCTGAAAGTAATGGAGTAAAGTTAATGGAAGTATTGAAGAACAGAACAAACAAACTCTTAGTCTTAAGTTCATTATTAAGTCTTATGTTCATTAAATCCATCATTGTCTCATGTGCCATGTTTCATTGGATGCACTTTCAACATCTCTAATATTAATTTATATTCACACATTCACCATCTAAACATTTTCTAGCCAAGTTAGAGTACGGTAAAGGTGATTTTAGTGAGAAAGCTCGGTAGGTAATTATTATTAATCATATCTTCAGAGCTCCGTGGAGTTTGCTTCATGTTTCTTATTCATGGAGTTTGGTATTAAATTATATTTGCGATAAACATCCTTAAATTACAGAAATAAGATACAGATTGCCGACTCTGAAAAAGGCTTAACCAGTCAGTCTGCTTTAAAACTGTAGTTATTAGTTTGTGTTATTTTATTAACATTTTGCTGAAAATTAGTGGAACCCAAGAAAGATTCTTTGCGCACTGTTATGGACCTCAGTGTTCTGTCGCTGTCAGTTGAGCGAATGCAAATATACGAGGCATCGGCTCCCCAGTGAAAAACCGCAACAACATTCGTGTTGTTATACGTCTATGCATACGCGGAAGCATTCGAAACCAGTATTTTGTCTCGATTGCGCGTCTAGCACTTCATAAGTATTAACACTTTCTAGCACGTGCAACTGTTGTAAAACACTGTATTAATACAAAAGGTAGAGCATTTTAACGAAAATATAGACATTTTAAACCAAAAACAAGCATTTACGTCATTTTATAAGTTTTGGAAAGTATGAAGAATATGCGTCAATTTTTTCAAACGCAAATATTTTTATTTTTTTCTTTATTTAAAAATCTTATTGAAAGAATCTTTGTCAATAATCCCAGACAACCGAGCGTTTTCACTTAAAATCTCTATCAAATATTAAATAGATGAGTACATAATGTAATGTAAAAATGTAAAAAATTAAAATTGCCCAAAATTGTCCAAAATCTTTGAAAGGAATTTGTTTCTTAAGTATTGAAAATTAGTTGAGAAGAAAACATTTGAGAGAAATTAAAGTTAATGAAGAATGAGACATACCGTACTGTGTAAAGCGACAACCGGAATAAATCATTTGCTTTTCCTAGTAGAGGTTCACAAAAAGTTATTAATGGAAATCGAAAATTCCTCATTCTGTTGAGATACACGTGCTGTGGTTATAGCGAATAAATGTTACACTCCCGAAAACATATCTTTTCAAAGCGCTTATTCCTTTCTGCAAAGAACTGCTTTATTTTTAAATTATAATTTCCCCACTGTCTATGCACTTTAATGTGAAAATAAACACATTGGGCAGCCATTAAGATTTCACTATTTATTTATTTATTAAAACTAATTGTATTTTGTATTAGCAATATTATAATTATAATTTAAATAATATTTTAATTATTTGGTTTTGAAAAGGTTCAGGATTTCATAAACTCATACGATGATTTTATTACACTTGTTTAATATCTATTGTCTGAAAATAAACATAGTTCGTGGTCATATGTTCTTTCTAGCTTTTCACCCCCTACTCCCTCTTCCCCAGTTTGTTGACGAAGGATGTCAAAAGTCTGCTCGTACAGTACACACATGTAAGAGCAACCTTATTTGGTAACTAATCGATGTTGATGTGTTCCTTGAAGACGACTTTGAAATATGCTTTTAATTTTGTATGTATTATTCTATAAATTAATTGGTGAATAGGTTTAACAAAATAATAAATATTGGAAAGAGTAGTAAGAGCTCAACTTAAAAAGCTATTACAATTAAAACTTGTATTTGGCTTTTGCAAATTCGTTTCAGATATTTATCACCACTTTCATTTCAGATGCACATTATCGTGAATAACAATTTTTAGATGGCCGTTAATTTTAGGTTTGTGTAGTCTCTTATATGAAGGTGCGATTCTTGTTGTTGTTTTTTTATTTTCTATTTTAAAATCAGCATTTACGACTGAAAAGGAATGCACAAAATTGGCGCAAAACAAAGGCATTATTTTGGACCGAAGGCCGTTCGCAAAGTGAAAGCGCGCCGTACCGCTTTGTGGGTCACGAGGCAAAGGTATGGTGTGAAGGACGAACGTGTGCGTGAAAATAAATCGCTCGAAGTTACACATGCGCGTGAATATGAATAGAGAATTCAACTTGTCGGGTGCTGCTATTTACTTCCGCCTTGCTGAACTATCCGAGACACCTTTTTTTGTTTGCTCGATGTGCTGATTGGTGCTTTGACAAAACGATGCTAAACAATGGAGTGAAACAATGCACGGGCAAAAAGCTAAGGGCAACCGGACAGATAAAGGAGTAAGGAGTACTCAGAAATGTAGACATGGGGAAAGGAAATACAACTCTATTCGATACTTCCAAGACAGTATATGTTAAGATGATAAGATATGTAGTTAATACAAGGAGAAACTTAGTATGAGTATGATTCCAATATCTGAGTTTCTGTGAGCTCCTACTCGTTCGGGATACGTGTCAGTTTTATCCGTCCGAATTCGTTGCTAGAGTTATGCGTTCCTCGTAGGCGTCCGCCGACACCGTTTTCCCGTCCGGGTTTACCGTACCTCATTCTTGATCGAACATTTCCCCTTCACAGATTCAGTTCTTCAGGATGCAGTTAAACAATTACTCATACCCTGAAAAGTCAAAAG